AACTAGTTAACTGTTGATGGAATAGCTTTGACAGGTCTTACAAACTAACTGATGGTGGAATAGACTTTGAAAGGTCCAACAAGTTAACTGTTGATGGAATAGCTTTGACAGGTCTTACAAACTAACTGATGGTGTAATATAACAAGCCTCATAAGTTAACTTGTAGTGGAAAAAGACTTTGAAAGGTCTCATATACTAAATGATGGTGGAATAAACTGTGATATCATGAGTTAAGTGATGATGGAATAAACTTTGACAGGCTTCACAAAATAACTGATGGTGAATACTGTTCCAGCTAAAGTTCAGTTTGATGACCTGTCTTACAGGAATATACTTTTCAGGCATATCTATGCAGGATCTGACCAGACCTATTTCAAGTCCTTCTAATTAGATTCTACACTGGGTTATTATACAGAACTCTATGACTAATATGTTTGAATTCAAGACCCAGGGAAACAAAGAATTGTACACCAATAATTGATATCTGACAATACCTGTCTTCTTGGCAGAAGGGAAAAACGTTGTCATTGTAGTTAAGATGATATATATATAACAGAAAAACTAAGTATTTACAATAATCATATTTGCCAAATATAAAATTATCCAAAGTGAATTACCATATTTGCAAACAGTAAATGTGTCAAATAATTTTTATTAGCTCATTTTTCATTTTATTAAAAGGAATCATTTTGTGAATTAAACCCAGATCTACTGTAGTCTTTCATTTTAACCCTTTGGCTGTAGCTGCTTTAAATGCGTGTGGACTTTTTGTGAGCCGTACAATGTATACAACACACTCACATTCAACTGCTAGAGGCAGACCGTATCCTATACGGCAAAGCAGCAGTCAATGGGTTAAGAAATGTTTGAGCCAAAACTATGACATTTATTCAATAACCCGTCCATCATGTAGCTGGTTGGGTTTACAAAATGATCAGGTTCAGCAGAGTAAAAATATTTAGTAAAAGTGCAAAACAACAACACATAAACAAGAAAAAGCAGTGTCAATAATTCTAACAATCAAAATCAGTTGGCAGGAAGTTTGTTTGTATAACTTTAAAAAATTAAAATAAGGTTGGATCTTTAGAATGATATAGAAATGTTTTTGTTTTATTTCAGATTTTGTTCGGAACTCATTTTTCATGCGATATCTGAGAACTTTGCAATGATTATAATATATATGTACACTGTAGTTATAACTTGATTTGGTGTAATAAATGAAAATTAATGTAGCGTGACTTGATAGAATAGAATAGAATATGAGAAAACTTACTTAAGTGTGCACTTTGTAATAAAATCTCTATGTTTCACAAGCATTTTCTTTTATATTAGATCTGAAGAAGACTTACTATTCAAAACAATACTTACAGTGGAGCTATCAGATTGTTTAGTCAAACTTTTAAATACAATTCACTATGCATCAATCTGAAATAGTTTTTATCATTAATTTCATTGTTCAAATGCATTTTAATGTGTTAATACCTAAAATGTGCATGTGTGAATAAACAAGTATCATTTGAATATATTAAACTGATGTTTACTGCAAGAACAATTTGGTTTGAAATTGTTTTCTTTGTGTCTAATCAGTATCTGTAAATAAACTTTTACCCATTTTTTAGAAGTAATACAAACAAAGATAATGCATTTTTATCTGTCTCCAGGATCAGCCGAGCCAGCATCAAGCCTTTCGTGAATGTTAGCCTTTCTAATTTTTTACTGTACATTATCCTGAGTCATGAATAAAACGTTTTGAATTGGTAAATTTTATGTGGAAAGCATATTCAATTCAGTCACCATACCTCTCCTCCTCTTTAACCAAATTCTAAATTATTGAAATAAACGCTACTCACAATAACTGGATGACACTAATATCAAGGGAACAAGTGACATTACCACCTACCACTAGTGTCAAGTATTAACTTGATAGTTAAAGTTACAATGTGCACAAGTAACAGGCATTTGTGGAATGAATGGTGATTGTATCCCATGATAGGTATGTTGTACTGGTCCTTGATTCAAATCTTGCTGATGGCCAAAATAATGATGCAGCAGTTACTTACCACATACTCCAAATGATTATTGATAATATTTACACCTACGTACGTACGACCACGTATACAGGATTCCATTCCTTCTCCAAAAGGGGTGTAACAATCCAAACATTCAAAGCTTGTCATAAAAGTGTGTTGGGGTAGTAGAAACAATAAGTGTTCACATAGTTGAGTAGGTATAAGACCTACATATCAACTTTCAAAATTTAAGAACAAATAATGATTAACTATTTCAACAAGGTTTTACTCAAAAATATATATATAGAATTGATATATATATATATATATATTTATATATATAGATAGATAGAAAAATAAAAAAATAATTTAAAATTTGCATTTCTGCACAGCTCTGAGGAGCCTTACCTATAGACAATGCACTTAGATTTTTTTAGAATTTTTCTATCCATCACAAAGCACACTTGCTAAGAGATTATTATCTGTTGAGAATATAACTCTCAAGGTTTCATTTCTCATGTGGTTTTCCTTCTCTTAATATATTAGTACAGCTTCTCATTCACACCCTTTTATGATCTCTCAAAATGCAATGTGAACAACTACTAATGAAAATCAACTATGAAAATAGCTAAAGGCATATTTTAAATACCATTGTGTTGTTGCAGAGAAGAACAATGTAATTTGGTAAGAAGTTTAGATCTGGAAAGTTTCTTTGAAGTTCCTTAGGCTACTTTTACTTCCTGAAAAGATGTTCATGTTAGATATTTTTTGAAAGCTTCAGAAATTTTCTTATATATCAAAATCTCAGGTAAACATAGTTGGATTTAGAGAGTAAGGGAGGCAACAGCAAAACATTCCAATAACTCAAATCCTTACTCAGTGAATATTACAATGAACTTTATCTCATAAAACAATAAAGATAAGTAAATTAACTTATTATTTATTGAAAATGAATAACACTTACTGGAAATAAGTTCATCTCAATCAAGAATATTTTTAGCAAACATATTGTTACCTAGCCTGACCTGAAACCATTGTGACTGGTCAAGTTATAGAATACTAATAAAACTTTCAGTTTTAGTCATACTTTGTATGAATTATAGGAAGTATTAATATTTTCAGTGTTTTATCAAAATAGTGTCTCATAAGGAAAATCTGAATTTACTTACTGATTATAAGTGTTATTTTATTGCAAGTTACAGCTTATACAGTAAGGAAGAATATTTGAGAATGATCACACACCCGTGATTGAAATTTGAATAATCTAACTTGTAACAAAATTAATCAAATATTATTTTACAAGCTATAACTAAATACTCTTTAGTAAGATTTTACTAAGTTTCATATAATTTGGTTAAATATGTCCACTGTGAGAAGGATGTGGTCTGGAGAGAGTTAAGGAAACAATTAATGAAAACACACAAACCTAACTAACATATTTATAAGAAATGTCTCCTTTACCATTATCAAACAACTTCTGTTTAAACAATTTAAAAACCTACTATGTTCTATTCTCTTTTACAAAATGAGGAAGCTTCTGCAGAGAAGTGAAATATATAAGTTTAGGATTTCTTTTGCATTGCCCAAGGGAAGCTGAAATTTTTTTCTGAAGTTTAAAAAACACACAGATTTTCTCATCAAAATTTTTGGGATAAAATGAACACAAAATACATAAATAAATAAACTCAAAGAGTGAGCAAACTATCTGTTTTATAAACCTTTGTCCTTTTGTGTATGCAACAAACCTGTTAAAAAAGTATTCTCTCCTGAACACCTGAAGACTCACCATTAACCTATAAAATAATAAAGATTAATTAGTAATGTAATATCATGAAGTCAAAATCAAAGTTCTAAATCTATTTCCCCAGCTCTGGTTACACATCTGATAATTTTTAGTATTTAACAAAATGATGAGTAATCATAGTCTCACTACCTCATGATGACTGGGTTACAGTTCAAATCAAAACTAGAATTAAAAGGGGACATTTTTTAAAAGAATAACATGTCAATTTTTTGATGTTGTCACTGAAATGTTAATGCAGAATTTTTTTTTTTTATTAGATCATCATCATTATGATTTTTGGGAGCAAACTGTGTTTCTCAACAGAATGTTTATTTTATAGTTTAAATGAAGAATTTTTTTCTAAATGATTTAATAATGACTATTCAATCATTGGAGAGCTCACAAATTATAAGCATTACACTTAGTATACATATTTGGATATTTTTTAACTGAAGTTTCAAATTTTTCAAGAATTTATTTAATGAATTTGATTTGAAATGATTTAAATAAACACTTCATACAAAACATTAATAGTTATTTTACACTTGTATTATTGGCCTTATTCTTTTAATGCAGTAATTTCCAAACTTTTTTCACTGATGATACCCTAACCCACTTACCTTCGATTTGCATGACACTCCTGCTGCCACATGCAATTTTGTTTTTGTAATTCTTTTTTATGTTCTTAACAATTCTTCATTTGGTAAAACTCTTGCCACACCCCTAGCAACCTGCTGTGTCACACAGTTTGAAAACCACTGTTTTAATATTGATTTCATGTTCATTGTCTATATGATTCTTGAAATAAAATTCACTGGCAATTTTTTTGCCAAGTTACCTAACAACATCAGATTATCCAGTTTCAAGTTAACTTTCCTGTTAAAATTACTTGTAAGCTTTCAAATGAGGTAATTTTAAATTGTTTTGTATGCTGTTAACCTAAGAGTATCCAATCTAGCTGCTATCAATTTAGTTATAAAGTTTTAAGGTTATCAAACAAGGTTTCTATAAAATAGGGCATTATAAGCAGCTATCACAGTCTATACTATACATTTCTATACTACGTTTAAAGAAAACATTGTTTTTTGAAGCACAATAACATTAACAATAAATGTAACCCCTACCTATTAATATTTTTTTTATATCTTGTAAGCTGACACAGTGGAAGAGATGTTGTCATTTTGTGAGGTATAAGCAATGAAATTAGAATTATATTTACAAGTAATGTAAATTATATGAACTTATTTGACAGCAAAAAATGACTCCATGATTTTGTAAATAATTGTTAACATTTAAATGAAAACATGGTATATATTCAATAGTCTGGAAATACTGTGCCAGCCTATCATGTTTTGCATAATAGCAGTTTATTTACACTAAAAATGAACAAAAAAAGTTTAAGAAATAAAACCTTGGGTACATACTATTAGTTCTTGAAGCGAAACTGCAGCCAACTTCAATATCTTGTTACTTCTCTGATCAGACAAAACAACCATGTTGTCCTTTATTATGGTCACTGAAAAGTACATCAGAGAGCAATCCTATCTGTGGAACAAAACTGTGTATAAACAGATTAACCAAAGTTGGTTAAAATACATTTAAAGTAATGCCACAATTTCAATTTCTGGTGTTATAAGAAATCATACAGAGAAAGGTATTTAGCAACTGCAGTGAAACATTTCAGAAATGTGTAGAATAAACATCAATTATTTCCATATTTCAAAACAAAAATGCAAGGTGTAATGTAACAAGTTACAATACAATTATTAAAATAAAACAATAAGATTTTGACCTTAAAAAGTCATGGTAATAATAATAATAATAATAAAAAAAAGATAGTACAAAAATCAATTAGTTAGGAGTTTGATGATGAAACAATGGCATGTATGATCAAAATAGTTCTGGCAATAATGACACTGATAAAACTTACATCAGTAATAATGAAAAGTTGTTATACCTTAACACTTATCAAGGTGAAACTCTTAATTACCCTCAGGACCTAAAGTGAAATCTGAAAATCTTAGTTAAATAGTATGTAATTCCCTAATTTACTGCAATATAAAAATTCTGTTTAATCTTACTTAATTACTCTGAAGTTAACTGGCCACTTGTCACTGACAGTAAGAAGTTATATATGACATTATCCATAACAATCTTTCCTTTTCTTCAGCAACAGTGACAAACGTTACTTACATACACCGTTATCTTAAACTTCATAAAAATTTTCAAATTAACATTAGCGATCATTAAAATATAACCAAAAGCTTAGCATTCTAAAACATTAACATTTTTACACAAATGATGCCTCCAAAACACTTTTGAACATATTTGAAGAAGAAACCAGAGTACTCTTCAAAATTGTCCTTGAATACCCACTCTTGTGAAAGTAGTATTTTAAACCCACCCTTACTTTTCCAGAAACACTAATTTTACTCCAAATTTTTGTTAAGTGCTTGTTTCTACTATTGCCAACAGTAACTCAATCCATAATCCAATCACTATGTTAGAAAATAAAAGCTGTCTTATTTGAAGCCTAACCTAGATGTATTTTACAAATCTTCAAATTTGAATCTTCTCATTCTATTGTCTTCAGAAAATACCACAAATAAGTTAAAGGCCTTTATCCTTTATGCCCTGTATGTCATCTTGTAAACTTCAATAAAATAACTTCCCTTCAGTTCTAACAGGATCTAATCCATAGACGTGCACGATAGCTTGAAAACTGTAAGCTGATGAGACTTGTACAAAACATGACCAATACAATTTCAACTTAAAAATCCTAAAATACTTTAACAAAAGCTTAAGGTCTTAACCTATACCTTCTGTGATTAAAATCATCCTAATTATCCTTTCTTTGATAAGGAGACCAATACTGTACACAGTGTTCCAAGACCAAACTAGTGATTTGTACAGTTACTTCTTTTGCTTAAAATTTTATTAATTTTACTACTGACTAAAAGCAGATCTCTGCGTTTAAAGCTTGAGTGACATATCCACTTAAAGTTTCATTTAATGAAATGTCCTCAGAAAAAAAAAACATTACTAATACAATTTCTTAACTAATGACACAACAATAAAATACAATTTGTGAAGTACTTAACATAAGTTATTACACAATTTTGCTCTTCTAGTGGGAAATAACTTCTCTGATTCCGAGTTATATTTACTGTAAATATGAAGCTCGGTAAATGTAAATAAACCTGAGTTCATTATATTTACTCATTTATCAGTTAACTTTTTCCTTTACCTTTTCTCTAAACATGGGAAAGTGAAAACTTGATGAAACCAAATCAGTCTTTAAGCCCAAGACATCTACCTTTCAAAAAGCTAAATAAAGTCAGGTATTTCCCATCCCCCTATATGCCCAAAATCATAGGTGAAGTTGAGATAGTATTTGTTTCTATTGATGTTTGAGGGCCTGTATCTTAAAATATTTAAAACAATGTTCTTGTTCTATGTTTTTTCCAACAGATCTTTCGATACAAATAAATTATATAAGATAGTAAACAAAAAATTTTACAAATTTCGTATGACAAACTGGTGATAAAAATACAAAACATATATATATTAATAATAATAGGAAAATATCAAACTCCAATAGTGACAAGTTAATACACTTACATGTTCAAACTGAATTCTGAAATTACTTAATAATCACTCGAGATTATTTTGGGCTATCAGTTTAATTGTGGAAGTTTCAACGAAATGTTGGAAATCCTTCACTTGAATATTAAAGACAATTTCAAAACCCTGACCCAATATCATAGGAAACGTACAACTTTGTTAATGAACAAGTTGCTTGAACTTTGAAGTTGTAACTCGTAATACAAACTGTGGTGACACTGATAGACAAGGATGTGTATATATATATATATATATATATATATAT